CTTTGAATCAGCAAAGGAAATCTGCAAGTACCACGAGATGACCTGTTGTAGTGTTGTCTCCAGTGTATCAGTCATGATAGAGAAGGTCCTCTGTGGCCATGTTGCCTATACTAACAGAGCAGGCTGGCCATAGCAGACAGGGCAAATCGGACTATACCAGGATTTAAAACTGCCTTTTCATCTATAGAGGTTGGCTGCATCCACAATAGACAAATTAATTCCTTCAAATTTATAGTTAGCCTTGAACTACAATGTGGAGTCTGTAACCCCCAGCCATGAATAAAACAGGATCAGAATTTTATGGGTATCTCTCGGAGGGATATGTCAGCCACAGCAAAGTTCACTTTGCTTACAACCATCAGAGGTGGACTGAAAGGGCAAATAATAGTCTTCAAAATATACATCAATTAAAAAACCTGCTAAATCCATATGAACATGCCTTTGTAAATGTGCTTTTCACCGTCACTCAAGCAGTCAAGTTCAGTTAGCGCAGGAATTTTTTAAAAGCACATTTCAGGCTGACGTCCAAATACATTCAAAAAATGCACCTCATTTTCTGCTGTACTCCTTCATTTGGTCTAGCTAGTGGCCCTTAACCCAGAGGGCTTGAGTGCTGAATCATATGCCCGCATCATAAAATCAGAAAAAGAATTACAAGTAACAAAACCAATTTGCACTAACAAATGACAGTGAAAAAAATTGTCATTGATTCATTGTGTCCTGTAGCAGTAGAGGACCCTCGGCTGATTCAGATATTCAGAGCAAACTTTTCTCTTGACCCTTATGAATAATTAGATTCTTACCCTAAAGTCAATAGGTGGCATGTTGGAAGTAAAAGCAACAGTGATTTTAATGTTAGGACAAGTAATTGAAACATTAGGCAGCTCTTTCAGGGCACTTCTTGTTTGCTGTTACATAGAAAGGAAGTGACAGACGCCTCTTCTTTGCTGTGCTCCTGACCCACAGTGGTGACTTGAGATGTCTACAGAATCAGGGGAAATCAGGATAGGGAAAAGAAATGACAGCACACGAAATCCAAAGAGCAGACAACACATGCAGGATCACCCAGAAATAGGAGGAAACATGAGCCAGGACTTGAAGTCCTGAAGCTTTCAACCAAGAGAAATACAGTATGTGCAGTTATAATACTTAAATATTCACTCCTTTTTATCTCTTCTGAAAACAGAGAAGAATGAAGAAGAGGAACAGGAAGCCAAAAGAGAAATAAAACGTAGACTCAGTAGAAAGGTGATGATGTGTTTTTTGTATTGTGTATGTGTGTACATAGGATTATTTTTTATACGATTCTAAAAAATAGTGTGTATACATTACTGCAAATGTCCATCAGTCATGCAGAGCAGTGTGGGCCCCAAGAAACGCCTTCACCATTCTTCTAACCAGGTCAGTGGTCCTTGGCCACTCGCTGTAGGTGGGATTGTGCTCATTGTCCCTGGAAATAATGCAGCTATGGATCTGCTGTCCTGACTTTGGGAGCTCGTTCTCAAGAGGATGGGGGCAGTTTTCATGTGTATCCCTACTCTGCCCTTCTCTGAAAAAACACAGTTTCCTTAATATGATCATCCTTAGTTAATTAAAGTGAATATTGTTTGAGGTGACTGAAACAATTTGGCATCACAATGACCTCCAGATGTTCAAAACCAATTTTTTTAGTTAGGCAGGCACCTCCAAATCCTGCTTCTTTTCATTATTACAGTTGAACACAGCAGACTGTGTAATCATTAATGCAAATGGACCTACTGCCTAGTGGGGCAAATGGTGTGGTAGTTGCAAAGTCACAATTAATATTCCAGGGATAACTGTCATGATTCTCTGTGACCTGCCCGACAAAGACTATTTTTATAACTGAAGAAATTAGGTTGTGCTGCTTCCCCATTCCTGTGTAGTGCTCCCAGGATGATGCCTTTTTTTAGACACCTGAAAGTGACCCTATTTAGAAATACCATTAAAGCTCTCTTGAGATTACATCATACCCTCAGCTTTTATTTTATTTTATTTCATCTTATTAAACATACTATTTTCTGCCTCCCGCTTACAGCTAAGCCTGAGGCCTACGGTGGCCGAACTTCAAGCAAGAAGAATCCTTAGATTTAATGAGTACGTGGAGGTCACGGATTCCCCGGATTACGACCGTCGTGCCGACAAGCCTTGGGCCAGGTTAACTCCTGCAGACAAGGCAAGCGACAAATGTGGATTATAAGCAAATGCTTGCATCTGTCACTTTTGGGGGCTTTCCTCTGGTTCATATTCTTTTGATGCCAGCATCACGAATGACATCTGCTGGAGACAGTGAGATTGTCATGGTACTACTGTGCATCTACTGCAGGCAGCTAAGAAAATCCACTCAGGTGCCTATTAAAAGCGTATTTGCCACCTCAGTTACAGCAGTTCAGGCAAGAATTTCTTGCATTTTTAAAGCCTTGCTAAGCCAGGCACACACTGTTAGCAAAGATGGCCATGACCCGTGGAATTCAGGCAAGGTTTCTGCAGGCAGAAGCCTGCATCACTGCCACCGAGAGTTACTTTTGCAACTCATTCAAGTGAAAAAAAGGTAGAAGCTGCTCCATCCTTCTAAGGGTTCTTGGCCACAACTGTCAGTGCTGTTGCTGACCGTATGCATGCAGCACGCCTTCTTGGGACGTTCGCCCCCAACATGCTGCAGTTAGTTCCTCTGCCTAACTACAAAGAATGAGACGAATGATTGTGTGATTCTTTTTTGATCTGAAAACAGATCAGTCAAAGATTACCATAAAATCTTCTCCCATTTCCCTCCTATACCACTTCATAAAAGGAAAGCTGTAGGATTTGTGTATCAAAAAGTGCTGGCCCTTTTAGCACTGGGTCTGAACCAACTTCTATGGAAATCCTATGAGATGTGCTTGGCATGAAAAGTGGTATGTGCAAGAACCCACTGTCTTTTAGCTAAGGATTGTGAAGCACTGATTTTATTTCAGCTTGTATTTTAATATTAATGCCAGCTCCTCTGACAACCAAAGGAGAATCTCATATCAAGTCAAGGTGGAGACATTAATAATGTACCCAGAAGTGTCTCTTGATGTTGGTTCTGGGAGGTGCTGAGCGCTTTCTAGTCCTCTTGTAGTCTGTGGGAGGTTAGAGCACCCAGCACCTCCACTTTCACCTAGGTCCAACCAGGGTAAACTGCACTAGAAAAAACACTGGTGTTTCCTACCTACTTTAGGGTAGCAGTTTTTAATCTCAGTTTGTTTTGTAATGAACAGATGCCTGAGGCTGGTTCTGTGATCCTCATGTTTGTTGGCCTCAGCAGAAAGGCAGACCCTGGGTTGCCTGGAAACTCCCTTGCCCTTTTTTCCCCAAGGAAGTTACTTTTCTAATTCCAGTGGGAGCGGAAGATTGTACTGTAACTATATTATGAAGCTGGAGTGCTGGTGTCTTTGCTGCTGATCTGGTGCTCAGAAATAGCTGTCTCTTCCCTAGCTATTACAGCAGCCTCATGTAAGCATGCTGTTGTGGCTAAACAGAACCATCCCCTGCTTAAAATGAAGTTTCTCATTTATGAGACCGCAGTCTGGTGACGCTATAATTTTATCATGTGTCTGTTCTGCATTGAAAGGCATGCACACCAGGTGAGATTTCTTTAGGGATTAATGAAATGATACTGCTTTTATTTAAAATGGTGAAAGAAAAGAGCGCGTAAGAATAAACTCATTTCATTTCACAGTGAAGGTAGGAAAGCATGTGGCATAGAAAAAAAAAAGCCCTTGTAGTATATATTAGAATATTTCAGAAATTGTATGTATTACCTGATGAAGTAAATTGTTTATCACTCTTTTAACATAAGCAACAAGGTGTTTACAAAGTGCACTGAATTTCTGCTGTTTTTTAGTGTCTGCCAACTGGAAACACAAGCCTGAAATGTCCAAACATTTCATGTAATTTTACATAAAACTAACCAAACCAGGCGACTAACTCCACTTAAAAAAAATGCTATTCATCTTGGCATTCCGGACTCCGAGCCTCCAGTGGGGAGAGACAAAGCCCCTGCTGTGTGTACAGCACCTGTGCAGGCAGCCTGGCTGACCAGCTCTTCAAGGGCTGCGCTTGGAGATACAATCCCCGCGGCGTTGCATACGCAGCAGATGTCTGTTGGGATAACCCAGTCCCTGACCCGTTTTTTGTCTGTAGCAAGTGCTGTGTTTCGGGGGGTGGGTTGGTTCACCCGTTGCAGTAGATTGGGTGTTTCTTTGTTTATTGTTGTTGTTTGATGCTTTGGGTTTCTCTGTAGGTATTACTGTGTCAAATAGCTGTAATTCAAAAAAGTCATTCATGTTGACGATGAAAAATGTGTGAGAAGGAGCTGTGGATTACAGTAAGGGAGACTTGAAAATGGAACTGTAAGGGAACCTGCAAGAGCAGAGCCAGGTTCCTCTCAGACTCTACCTTCTTTAAGATTCATATTTCTTATGGTTTCATATATCATTATTGTTTATTAGGCAGCAATACGGAAAGAACTGAATGAATTTAAAAGCACAGAAATGGAAGTGCATGAGGAAAGTCGGCAATTTACCAGGTGGGTAAATCCCTCTTCTTGCATAAGTAAGTCAGAGAGATGGGTATGACAGTGACCCATTGCCTTCCTGTAAGTCCTCTGCAGTTGTGTCATGACTTGTATATTGATTCCTACCCTGAGTCCCCTTGAATCCCACCTGAATGCCACCACTGATTTTGTTGGGATTCCCAGTGCTGCTGGTGCCATCCCTGAAGCTTGGTAGTTGATACAGCAGTGAAGGTGACTGCAGTGGATCGGTAGCTACATATAAAAAGATTGTTTGAGAAATCTAAAACACAATCATTTGAAAGGACTCAGCATTTCTCGCAGATGAAGTTACAGTCCTCAAGCACAATAAAAGGGATGTCCTTCTCCAGCTGTACTCCCTTGCTCATGAAAGTATACATTTTTGTAGATGCGTTTGGTAAGCGAAAACTAGATGATGTGTTGAACTTCAAAAAAACTCACCGGAGTTTTGGGGAGCTTCCTAAGGGTCACCTAGGCTCCTGGCAAGCAGTTTCTGGGGACAAGACAGATTCTAATATTCTCTGCTTGCTACTTCTCATGTGTTAATCAGGGTTTGTTTTGTTCTCTGCTTTGGATAACACCAAGATGTTGTCTGAAGCATTATTATTTAAAGAGCTCTGAAGTGTCCACAGTTTTTAGCAGGACTTCAAATTCGGCAGTTTTTTTCCTAGGGGGTAGGGAAGCGCTTCTGCCATCCCCATGCCATCTGTTAGTATTTTTTTGAAGTTATAGGGACTGAAAATTGCCACCAGCAAGCAAAACTTGCTGTTATGATCAGCTGACATTGCATATGTAGTAGTATTGTTTTCACTTCCACACAAAGTTACATTGGATAAAAACAATTGCCCAAGGCTGGGTCCCTTCCTTTTCCTGCTACTGTTTCAAACTCAATCAAGGAGTGTGAATCCTCTAATTAAAGAGTGTCACAAGGAAAAAACACCCAGTGGGAGATGGGTGTGTGGTGATTTCTGTCATCTCCTAGTTCAGTGCTTGATTTTGCAACTGCAGTGATTTTTTTTCCCACCAAAACATGGATTTTTTCTTTATGTTACTGTAAACTCACTTCATTGTAAATAGAACATGAACAAATTAATTTTCAAGAAATCAAACCAGTTTAACAGGCAGCAAACCTAAGCCAGGAGGTGAACCAGGAGGCAGGGGTTTAATCTAGTGTTGTATTCTGTCCATTAGAAAATGCCCTTTTCAAACACAGATTGTATATTTTCATTTGGCTTCTGATGTCATTTTCTCTTCAGGTAGTGGGCAGTACATCTTCTTCACAATGTATAAAAATACTACTTTAAAAAAATGGATATCCCAAGGGAGAAAAGGAAAATGAGCAGTAATAGAAACCTGGGTGTGTCCCGAGCGAGATGGAGTGCAACCCCCTGCTTATGTTGTTACGCCTTTTGAGTTGCATTGCAATATGGAAGCATAAGTACAGATAGGCATGAGTCATACAAAAAGAAGTGGATATTTTTTCACGAGAATTGAAAGCAGTTGAGACTCACCACAATTGGATTCTTGAAAGCTGAACCAAAAATCTCAGGGATCCAGCAGAGTGACAAACCAGTTAAAAATCAGATGTTTTCTGAGGGCGGCCTTGGAAAATGGAGTAAAACGTAAGCACAGCCAAATTGTGGTAAATACAGGCAATGATGCTATAGGGTCCTGGAAGAATTTCAACCTGAGAGAAATCAGGCTCTTTATGTTCCCTCTGCACCCTCTTTTTTTTCACTGGTCATATTGTGGAGCCACTGCACAGAATTCAGCAGAGTAACTAGAAAAAGCTAATTAAGAGCAGAATTAGATGCAGATGTTTTAAGTCAATTGCAGTTTTGAAAATAAAGAGAGACTCTGTTTCCTCCAGGACCTCTCGTTAAAAATTATGTAGTTCACCACTACATTTGGATTGGTACAACAGAAGTGATTTGTTTTAAGAAAACTGTAGACAAAAGTCTCTAGCCAGAGAATGAATTACTCATCTTTTAATTTTTTTCAAGGAGATAGTACAATCCAAAAGGCGCTTGCATTGGCAACTGGTGAACAAAGGCTTATTCATGAAGTTCTCTGATAGAACCAGACAACAAGGAAGCGCCTTCTTAAAAAAAATAGTTTCTAGCATATAGTTTCTTGTATTATTACATGTCAATATAAGATGCTTTAATATTATAATCAGTATTTACAATATCTTTGAATTGTTAAAATTTTTATATTAAACTTGGGAAAGAAAAACCACTCATTTTTATTGTTCATCATTTACTCTAATGACTGTCAGCTGAACTCTTTTTCTACTCCTAGTCATTTAGACTGATTTATTCTCTTATTTCGTAGTAGGATTCAAGAAACAGAGTTTCTGAAAATAGAGAAATAAATAAAAGTTTGGGTAGAGGGTATCAGTATAAAGTGCTTCTAATGGAGATGCTATATATTCCAGTATATTGTTGTTCTACAAATACAAAAACCCTGTGTCTTTTTTGCAATGCACTGTACTCTCACTTAGCAGACAAACTGCATACTCATGGATTTCAGCTTTTGCGTACACCTCCTTTATTTGAGAAATGCATCCCTGAATTGTACTGTACCACATGACAGGGTGATATGTGGCTTGTTTTCTTTTCCCTTCTCTGGAAACGTTAAAGAGAAAATGTGTCAAACACAAACTTATGTAAATCTACTGTGTTAGGTGCATCGTTACCTATGCTGTTGTAAAGTTGCTGCATCTTTTACTACTTCATGGATAGATGTATTTTTGAAGCCATTTAAGCAGAGATTTAGAAGTCTGGTGATAGGTATGTTGAGCACCTGATATCGGTGCCCTTCTTACCCTTTTGCTTTGATTCACTGCATTTAAGCGGAGTTAGAATTTCAGTTGCTGCAGACTCCTAACCTATTATAGAAAAGGAACCCACCTCGCTATCCATCATACAGGTGATCCAGAGTGATGTACATGCCCTACCTAAAAGTCTAAAGCAGTGAGGTGTATTTCGGCCTTCACATGCCACAGTTGGCTGCTGTTAATAGGAAGAAAGCATCTGCAGTGCTATAAAATTTGTTGCTTGCTTAAAAGATCCAAAATTTTTGTTGGCTTCATTGTGCAGAAGGATTAAAACCCAGAAATTTAAGTTTTATGGCTTAGCAAAGCTTTTCTGATTTACTGGCAATCTCTCCAAATAGTGGATGCAATTGTGGCTAATTCTGTATAGTAAACAAAACAGACTGGAGAGTGTTCTCCGACCCTGAGGCCTGCAGGCTTGGCACAGCTTGAATTCATACAGTTCACTTCTCCCCCCCTGCCACCCCAAAACAGAGTGATGTCCCCCCATACGCAGTCTGCCTATTGGCCTGTGCTAATCCCCGCCATGCCCAGGCACTATCTGGAAGAGTGCTGGCTGACCCAAGCAAAACTCTGCCAGGGACCACAGTAACAGGTTAAGGGTATGGACAGACAGACATACACCAGTGCCTGAGCCACACCATAGCCCTGTTTGGGTTTCTAGCAGAGACAGACAGACAGCAGGGGATAATAGGGCTGACTCTAATGCCACATAGACCAGGAAAATCAGGAATAATTCTGTTTAGGCCACAAAAGTAAACAACTGTGAGAGCATGATAAGGATCAGTGTCATTGTCAGTTGAAATAATATAATTCTAAGCTTTTTAATGATCTATCATTTCAGGTTTCATCGTCCATAACTGTTTGACCACATCCCATATTTCATGTAACGATTTTCTTTGGGGAAATCATTGCATCCTGAGGACTCAAGATTGCACTGGAACTTGACTGAATGTGAATGTGTGCTACAGCTTACCCTGAGGTTAATGAAGGATGTGGCCCTCATCTTTATCAATGGACAAATGATTTGTCTAGGAGAAGAACCCACATGAAATCTTTGTCAGTGTTAAGACAGACCATGGCCTTGTGGCTAGCCCACACAGATGAGTCGGTGGTCATCTTCGTTGGAGCTCCACAAGTCAGGAAGTGCTGACGACAATCGCTTGAGAGCCTGTTACCAGGAACTCATCAGACTTCATAGGGCTGTGACCAAGGGTAAATGAGAGGGAGGAGTGTGAAAAGGACTGAGAGCATGCAGGAAGAGAGACTTCTCTTGTCGGTCCACAGAGAAAAGTGGAACGGATGGGACTGCTGCAACAATGCACTTGGCCAGTGGGAGGAATTATTTTTTTAAAGAACTGAAGAGTGTGAGCAACTGTGCATGTATTTTTTTTAGTGGCCACAGCCTGTCTTAGAAAGACAGCAAGCCACAAGTCCTCATGTCATCAGTACTTTAGTGAAGAACTGTAATTTTCTCTGGTGCCAGTAAATACAGTTGCCAGAAATTAGTCCTAGTATAACTCAGCTGTCTTTTTTAAAATCCCAGTGAGCATGCTTCAAGAAAATACATTGAACATTCATACAGAACAAGTCATATATTTTTTGGTTTTTAATGTTGACACACTCTGGACCCTCAGAAATACATAAACAAGATTCGAAGGACAAATAACATGTGACACTATGAATGCAATGAAATGCTTCATGTTTAGAAACACTCCTTGCTGTCTGTCACTTGCCACTGAAATCAGAGGGATCATTATCTTTCTCACTTAAGGCAGGCAGTGGTGACAACTTTGACATCATACTAGTGTGACTCCAAAATCAGAATTGAAATTAGGCACAAGTGTCTTTACTAGTAGGCTTGAGCAGTGATTACTGATGTGACTTTTTACCTTTAAGGACTCTTGCACTGCTTTGAGGAAGAACTCCCAGATGAATCAGTATGTCTTCAGCCAGTGGTCCTGTAAAAGTGAACGGAAAATCCTTAAGAGTGTCTGCAGCCTGTTTTTGTTGAGTGTGAAGAATGCTTCTTAGATTCATGATTTTTTATACTATCTTGAAATTGTACATGTGAATACAGTACTATTAAAATTAAGTGGTATGGAGTGTGAAAGGCAATACATGTTTTTTCTAAGTTGGCCCAAAGGCCTATTAAAAAGCCTGTGGCATTGTTTACACTAAGAAATTCTCTGTCTTATATTAGCACTTATTTATCCTTTGAATTAATGAATTTTAATTAATTGGGGGGGGTCTGAAATTCACATATGCATACATTTCATGCAGTATTACAATATATTTGCTATTTATCCTTTCTAATGTGTGTACATATTACAATTTATTTTTGTCTTTTATGCGCCCTGTTTAGCTTTTAATTATGAAGTGTAAGTATTTCTTTTTCAGGCAATAAAAGATCTGTGTAGATGTGATTTTTACCTCAGAACCTGCAGTAGATTCTTGTGGAATGTTTTTAGTTTATAAAATTGAAGGTTGTTGCTTTAGATGTCAGCCTAGAGGCAGGAAGGCAATTTGGTGGCTAAAATTAGATCTTCCTCTTTACTGATATTTACAACAAGACCACGTTTGCCTAAATGGGGTGGATTATTTTAGTAAAGAGCACTTCTACTTACAGGAGAGTCCTTTCCAACAGCTGGCACTCTATTATTTTTAAAGAGATTGACAAACCTTTTTTTAAAAAGATATTTATACTACTGTTAGGATCACTTACATTTTAGCAAAAATCTGATGATGTACAGACCCCAAAATATCAATAACCAAATAAAATAATGATCTACATGCTTGTAAGCAAAGAAAAGGAAGCAGCACCTGCCTTTTCTAATGGAATCAATAAGAGCTATTAGGATTCCATTTGGAGAAAACAGTTTAGCTTCTGTGAGGCCCATCATTTTATAAATATAGAAATACCACACTGACATCAAGGAAGCAGTGAAAATGTATTCATTGGCACTAAATCATACAGGAACGATCAGGCCATTAGAGTTAAGTTTTGTCAGCAATTCTGGTAGAATCCTGATTTTTATTTTTAGAATTTGAAGAATAAACTTAAAATGTACACTAGCACTTAATAAATAGTTCTCCTGCTTAAACTTTGTTGTTGTTGCCAAATTTAGAAATGTGTCCCCAAAATCCTATAAAGGTCTACCATGTTGACTTTGAAGTATAAACCACAGTATTTCACTTCAAAGGAATCAAGTGGAGCAATTAAATAGACCTCAGTGTTGCCTTAGTCACTTTGAAACATTTTGAAAGCAGCCAAGATACTAAAGGCAAAAAGATAGCTGTTGCACAGGCAGAATCACTTGGACAAAGGTAAGGTCAGAATATATAAACTTTTGTAAGACAGTAGCTCCACTGACATGCCAGGGTACATACGGGCTACACAGGCAAACTAAAACTTGTTAAACTCTTAGGATGAAGTGAATTAATTGACTTTCCAAGAAGACATTCCTGTATACTAGGCCTGGAGCATGGATGGAAAGAAATGTGCTGCCTTCTCGTTTTAAGAGTCAAAACACAAAGATGAGGATACAACTTCTGGCTCAGACTTCCTCAAGCTGTGCTTTGCCGTAAGACATGACGATATGTAGGTGAGGTATCACTTAGGCTTTCCCTATCCTCCTTCTGGGCTTGGGCGTTTTCTAAAGTATTCACTACAAGCCATTGGTAGAGGCAGAATACTAGCCTGGATAGAGATGCTGAGCTAATCTTTTAATTTCTTATGTAATTTCTTATTATTTTTATGATAAATAATCAGATGCATTCTTTGGCCCACGGTTCA